AGTAGATTCTCAGCAGAACCACTGTCTGTGTGGAGTTGGCATATTCTCCCATGTCTGCGTGTGTTCTCTGGGGACTTCAGTTTTCTCCCACCTTCCAAAGCTGTGCACGTGAGATGAACTGGAGTGTGTAAGTTGTCCCAGTCTGAATGAGTGTGGGTGTGACAGCACCCTGTGAGGGAAGGGTGTCCTGTCCAAGGCTGGCTCCCATCAGGAAAGGCTCCAGCCACCCGTGACTGTGAATTGGAATCAGCGGGTTAGAAAAAAATTATCTTGTTTTTATTACTTTCTGAAATGTATGTATAGCTCACATTTCAATGTTTATTATTAGAAGTGTTGAGTCTTTATTTAGAAATTTGGTGATATTTTTATGACCAGAAATATGACATCAGAACTTAACTCTTGTTTCTATCAATTAGCCTGTGGTAAAATTGGTGGCGTTACACATCATTTTGTTTAAAGTCGCAGTCTCCAAGAACCTGTTGACAGCATTAAGGACTTACTGTACACACACACACACACACACACACACACACACACACACACACACACACACACACACACACACACACACACACACACACACACACACACACACACACACTCTATTGGTTCCATTTTTTTTCTGAAGAATTATGACTCCTGGCACTACTGTTGACTGCTGGCACTATCATGATTTATTGTAACACTCAAGTTTAGAGTAACTTAAATTAGGTCTAACATTCTAAAGGGGGAAAAAATTTCCACATGTATCCTAAGCTGTTTCCTGGTACTTTGAGATAGCATCATGTCAAAACACATAGCTTAGCCAGATATTCTAACCTGGGTTCATCAACTCGTTTCACTCAACTTTTCCAAATTGCAGCATTACACGATGCTTAGAAGAGAAAAACTTTGCTTCTAAGACTGATGTACAAAACCATCTGCTCCTGTTTTTCACTTCCATTTTCTCATCACCCCTTCTCTTTTTTGGTATATCCCAAACATACTAGTTGAAAACTGTGGGATTCAAGGTTAAAAATCATCTTGAAAAATTTTCAAGACTACAAAAATTGTAGCAAGGTTTTAAGAAATTCCGCGTTGAGTGATAAAGTGAAACAACCAAGAAGGCACAGTAGGTAAATGCTGTGTTTACCTTCTCTTACAACTACATCAAAATTACAACTAATCTACAAAACAACCATTATTGAAAATCCCCTAAAATCAAGCTGAACTGAAGCCTTTCAACTAAGGACATGCAGAAGAAGCCACCTCCAGACTGCAAGTTAGGTCAGAGACGAGGAACGGGTTGGTCCCACACCCATGTGTGAGCATTAAAGATCAGGATGGCTATTTCAGCTGTGGGGTTCCCTAGAGAAGCTAGAGATCCCAGTCCCACCCAAGCGCAGGGTTCCAATGCCAGGGAGAGAAGCCCCCATAATTTCCGGTTGTGAAAACCAGCAGAGATTGTGACTGAGAGACGGTGTAGCTGCACTCACAGGCGCTCCTTTTAAAGGGACTGCGTGTGGACTTACTCACCAATGGAATCACTCACTCTGAGCTCCAGTGCTGGGGCAGCAGCTGGAAAGGCGGCAGGGACATGGTGGGGAACTGAGCTGTCTGGCTTGGGATGCGGGCTGGAGAAGTGGCTTTCTCCTGGACGCGGGAGCAGGTGGAGGCCGTTGTTTCCTTGTTGAACTCTTCCCCCTTCCCGGCATGTGAACACAGGTGGCTGCCATTTCTGAGTCTCCACCATTAGTTCACCATGCCCTGACAATTTGCGATCTGGCCTGCCCAACTTTCTGGCACACCCAGGCTGCTTTCAGTGGCTTTTTAATGCAGACAGACTGCCTTAGCTTATGCTGCAGACTTTCATAGGGTCTCTCAAAGTTATGTGGAACCCAGACAAGTAGGATCTGGCTTGAGCATGTCCTAAACTGTGGTGTGCAGGCCTCAGCCGGCACGAGAGGCAGCCAGCCTTGGTTTCACGGCTTGGCCTCTCAAGGCGCTTCCAAGCACAGCATGGGCAGTGGCTGAACTTGACCTACAGAAGATCCCCTCCAAGGTGATCCTGGGTCTGGTGCCCCCAGGGGCCAGCTTCAAAAAGAGCTGGAGCATTACCCAGCTGCCTCCAAGTATGACAAGGGGTGGATTGGGCAGGCACCAGAGTTCTGCTGAGGCAGATCCTGCTCCGTAGGCTCAGCCCCTGCACAACAACTCTTCCACTGTAGACAAGGCCAGTTCTCACAACCAGTGAGCCCAAGAGTCAGTCCCTCCCATTGATGTGCAATTATCAACCAAGGCTCAACTGCAAGAGGAAGGCACACACAGCCCACACAAGGGACACACCTGGAGCATGTGGCTCAGGTGATCGGAAAGACTGAGCCACTAAGCCCCACAGAATCCCTACTACATTAAGGCCACTCTACTAAGACCGGAAGACACGGCAGCCCTACCTAATACATAGAAACAAACACAGGGAGGCAGCCAAAAGGTGGAGACAAAGAAACATGTCCCAAATAAAAAAAAAACAGAAAAAAGCTCAAGAAAAAGAACTAAGTGAAACGGAGGTAAGCAGTCTATCAGATGCAGAGTTCCAAACACTGGTTATAAGAATGCTCGATGATCTCAGGGAGAACTTCAACAGAGAGATAGGAAGCATAAAAATGGAGATGGAACCATAAAGAACCAGTCAGAAATAAAGGATACAATAATGGAAACCAAGACTATATTATAGGGAATCAACAGATTAGATGATGCAGAGGATCCAGCCAGCGATGTAGAAGATAAGGTAGCAGCAAACACCCTACTAGAATAGCAAAAAGGAAAAAAGAATCCAAAAAATCAAGGAGACTTTAAGGGGTCTCCAGGACAATATCAAGCGTACCAACATTCATATTATAGGGATACCAGGAGAAGAGAGAGAGCAAGAAATTGAAAAACTATTTGAAGAAATAATGACAGAAAACTTCCCTAACCTTGTGCAGGAAATGGACATACAAGCCCAAGAAACACAGAGAGCCCCAAACAAAATAAACCCAAAGAGGCCAACACCATGACACATCATAATTAAAATGCCAAGGTTAAATACAAAGAGAATCTTAAAAGCAGCAAAAGAAAAGCTCTTGTAGTTACCTCCAAGGAAGTCCCCATAAGACTGTCAGCTGATTTCTCAACAGAAACATTGCAGGCAAGAAGGGAGTGGCAGGAAATATTACAAGTGATGAAAAACAACGACATGCAACCAAGATTGCTCTACCCAGCAAAGCTGTCATTTAGAATTGAAGGACAGATAGGGAGCTTCCCATACAAGAAAAAGCTGAAGGAGTTCGTCACCACCAAACCAGCATTACAAGGACTCTTAGAGGGACTTCTTTAAGATGGCAGGGGGGTTAAGGATGGGTGAAAGCGGAAGGGATTAAGTAGTACAAACTGGGGCGGCCAGTTAGCTCAGTTGGTTAGAGCGCAGGCTCATAACATCAGGGCTGCCAGTTTGATCCCCACATAGGCCACTGAGCTGTGCCCTCCACAACTAGATTGAAACAACTACTTGACTTGGAGCTCATGGGTCCTGGAAAAACACACTGTTTCCCAATTTAAAAATAAATAAAAATTCTGCATTAAGTAAAAGTTATACCCTGAGTACTTCCTCCAGGTGAGAGATGATGATGGCTTAAGCTAGGGAAGTTGGAGATGAGGTGAATTTGAAGGTAAATTCAGGATATATTTTGGAGACAGCCAAAGGACCTACTAATTAATGTATTAGGTGTAAGAGGTAAGGGAAAGAAGGGATCAAAGGATTAAAAGAAAAAAAAAAAACTGCTCTGAGAGAAACCAAATGATTCAATCAAGAATAATTTATTCAATGAAGAAACCCCAGCATTAATAATACTCAAATAATCCATACATTTGGTAATAGTGAATTTGTTTTTATTAAAGCAAGAATTGTTTTTCTTAAATTGTTATGCTATCATATTTGGATATAGGCATTGTGCAGAAACATAACAGTGCTATCGTACACAGTAGGCACTCAAGGAATGTTTTTGAATGCAAAAAAATTGATTTGATTTGCACATAATGCCAAAATGCCACACTTTCGTTTTTCTTTCTCCTTCCTCTTGCTCTGAATCTAGGATTGCCAGGTAAGCAAAGAGTAAACATGGTGATTTTCCTGCTTTTGTTGAGTACAGTCTTTTAGTATCCTACACCTACAGAGAATTATCAATGTTGTGCTTTAGAATTTCAATTCAAAGCATTATCTTATAAAAAGCAATTTAAAAAACATTACCAGTATCAGACCACAAGGAGAGTGCTTCAAGGCTAGAATACTGATGGGCAGGTAAAAGGGCAGAACGTTGTCCAAGGAACAATGAACCTGTCCCTGACATGAGTTTTGTTCCATGAATCTCTTTCTCAAGAACAGTGAGGTACATAAAGGGAGAAGAACAGACTGGAAAAAATGCCGCAGTTCATACATAGATCCATGTGTTCTTCAGAATTTTATTTAAATTTCTAATGTCTTTGGATCTTCACAAGGATATATACCTCCTAATAAACATGGAACTATAACTCCATTTTGAAATAGTTAATCACACATTATATATCATAATTAAGTAACACAAAGAATCTTTTTGACACGTAGGATTTCTCTCTAAAGCTTAAATGTGAGGCAGACGTCTGACTTTCAAACATATGAAACCCTAGAACATTCCCAGGATACATAAAACTGAATTTTGTGTTTTTATGTCTGAGAGAGAGAGAACCAATACAAATTGATGGCTAAGGCTTCTCTACTAATTGTTTTTTCCTATCTTTTCTAACATCCAAATATAACAATTCAGTGTTTCTTTTAATCTTATGGATGAGCATTGCAGAATGTATATAATTTTTATAATTTGTTCTGAGATTTGTAATCTTAGGTGTATGCATATGTTGTCTATTATTTAATCAAAACAACTTAATAATAAATATCAATTCATTTAACCCAACATATGTTCTCTGACAAGAAAAAAAAATACACGTTGTCACTAATAAAACGAGTTTATTTTATATTAAAATTTTCAAAAACACATTTGTAAAATTACCCCCATACTAGGCCTAAAGATAGCCTTACAAAGAGATAAAAAATTGCAAAGCTGCTTTATCTTAACTATTAAAGTATATAGATTTAAAAGGTGTCAGAAGAGAAAAATGTTAATTCATGGTCAATGTTTAAAGAATCAAAACACATTAAATCTGTAGGATACTACAGAAAAATAAATCTTAAAAACATTTAGAAAAAAAGCTGTACTTTCAGAAAGCTTTACTCTTAAATGATATTTACCAAGAAATATATACTGTATACCACCTTAACAATGATCTAAAAATTTACCTAGTAGCTTTGCAAATCAATTAGTCTACATAGGAGAAAACAGGAAATTGCTTTTCAATAGATACTGACTCCTTAATTTTCCTGATAAAAGAAAATCAGAATAAAAATTTAGTCCATTCCAATTAAAAATACAAAGTACTGATATTTAAGATAGTATTGCATTATTTTTAACAACACAAAAGTTCAAGCATTCCAGAAGCATAAAATGTTATAAAAAAAAAAAAAAGAAAGAAAAAATTATTTTTCTAACCAATGTCTTACAGAAATTTGGAATATTTACATACTTTATAACACTGTAGAAATCTTTGGTGGTGACATATGGATTAAGTTCCCTGAAAACACTTTAATAATTTTGTTCCATCAATCTGTGTAGTCAAGTATTTATAATTAGTAATGCTGGCAGTATCATTTTCTAGCCAAATCCATATATATAATCAAGTGTGTGGAGGAAATCTTATGTGGGACCTAGGTGGGTTTACATAATTAATTACTTAGCAATCAGGCTTATTTCTGGTTCATTGTTATACCAGAAAAAATATGGTAAACTGAAGAATAGATCAATTCTTACATACAAACTTTGGATATAGTTAATATTAGTGAACAAGTTGAATGCATATGTAATAAAATAAAACAATGGCTACAGTTTCTGGATAAATTTTAACAGCTACCAAAACAGTGCCCTAAATAGGCTTATGCAGCATCTGATGCCCATTCACCAAGTGGTGGTGGTAGGAAAGCAAGGCACTGAGGTCTAAGGATAAATTTACCTCTTTTAAAAGCAGTGGACTTAAAAGCAGAGAAACAAAAAATAACCTGCTCTACCTTAAAAGAAACAAAACTGTATAAGCTTATACAAAGTTCAAAGGAAAGGGCATGCAAAAACATACATAAGAGAAAAGCAAAATTTAAGAAATATAAGAAAAGGAGAGAAAGGAAATGATAGAACAGCAAAATGACATCACAGTGTATAAGGATATGACAGCAAAAACATATCAGAGGAAGCATTGTAAGTGTGAAGAGACAATTAAACAGAGGACTTGCATTAGCTCTTTGAAATGGTTGTCTTTAAACGTTTTGATTCTATAAGTGTAGAGAATACATAATTCCTCCAATTTAGAAGAGTATTTATGAGTTTACTATGATTAAAGAATAGGAATAATAATGAGATTAGACTTGAAAAAAAATTAAATGGTGCACATCAGCCTCCACAGGTAATGTGTTTGATACGAAGTCACTGACATGACCTTGTCAGGCAATTTGAGATGACACTGCCTTCTTTGTGCAGGAAAGACAAGCATGGCCATAGCATTTATATGGATAAGTCTAGGACTACGCAAGATAAAGGAAACTCTCTCCCAAGGGTTTATAATAAAGATTCATAGGAATTTTTAACACAAATTAAAGAGTCTTTCCAGAAACTAAGAGGCTAAAAATTAGTCAAGGTAAAAGCAGATGAAGATACTCCTAGAAATAAACTTTGGGAGAAAAGAAGTCAAATAAATTTTTAGTTAGTGTTATATTATTAAGAATCTGAGATAATTTAGAAAATATTTTAAGACTAGTATCGGAGAAATGTCAGAATTATGTAAGGTGCTCCTGAGTAAATATTCTGTTCTCTGCCAACACTCTGAGGAGGTCCTGTCCTGAATACACAAGCCAGCTGGCTTCATTTCTTAAAAGGTAGAAAAGTCAAAGACCTCACAAATCTCTCATTGTTTTTTTTTTTTGGACAAACAAGTAGAATCGCCAAGTAAATTACCTGAACAAGTATAATCGTACAAATTTCATTACTGGTCATGAAACCATCACCAGAAATACATTGATTTAGAGTTCATCATGCATAGCTATAAATGCAACCTAAAAATGCCTCAAAGTCCAGTAACTCAAAATATCTTGGATTAAAAAATGATTATTTTTCTAAGCTTCTAATATGGTAAGATTAACATCTGTATTTTGCATTGGCATCTATCTTCAGGAAATTATTCCCCAGAAGGGAAGTGATTAAAATGATTTTAGTTAATGCCAGATTTATAAATCAGCAGCACATATAAGTGCCCAGCTTGGGAATGGATTGGCTGTTGGACTGGTTGTATATTCATGAATTAGAAGAGACCTAAGTGCTGTACTGGTCTCAGACTCTATTTCACAAAAGCTACCACTTTTAAGAGGTGAAAATGTAACCAGTGTTAACAAAAACATACTAAGTTCAACTACAATGTACAGCTAAATATCGAAAACTGGTTAATGTTTAAAATAATTTCTAATTTGTAAAGAAGATAATTAAAAATAGCTAGAATTGAACAATTAACTGTATTTTAATATTAATATATTTTAAGATTTAAATCAAGCAAATTTAACAAGTGGAACCCATAGGAAAGGAGATGATGTAATTCGAGGCATAAATTTGACATGTCGGAATACGACAAATAATAGAGTGTCAAAAAAACTTAAAATGTACAGTCATAAAATAAGTAAACAATTTTCAAGTGTGCAAAACTAGTCAGGAATAAAAGTACTATGTGGATACCTGGTTCTCAAATATTTGTTTTGAAAACTTTCAGTTGATGGTGGAAAAACTATAAAGTAGTAAAAAAAGTAAAAATTTAAAGACTATATCAAACATACTTTATCTCACATTATGCCCCTGTCCTCCCACTGCTGGATCAGAGGCCTATTTAATCACTATCCTCATGTGATAGCTATAACATAAATGGAGGTAAACAATACAGTATCACAAAGTCTGATGTATCTTGAACCATAAAAAGACCTTTTCAAGTATACTGTAGGTTTGTGCTTCCTCTTCTATCCCAGGCCCTCCATCTTGTTGATGAATTTGAAAAGATGTAACACAATTTTCTATTATTATCTGATATATATATATATATATATATATATATATATATATATATGTTTTGCCTAACTACCTTTAATAGTGAAGATTTGAAAATAATTGTTAAAGTATTTAAATTGATGAAAGTAAACTCTATCGCTGCCACAATTTAAACAACTATTTTAATGAGTAAATCCTGAATATATAGTATTAGAAAAACCCCCGATGTATTAGCATTTGTCTTGGGATGCTTGAAGTGTATGTGACTAAAAATACACCTGTGGTCTCTTCTTCACTTTATATTTTAGTGAGCCATACCGCGCCTGAGGAGAGAAATGTGTTATTATTACAAATCAGATGATTGGTTTTTGAAATTATAAAAGATTTAACAGTTTATAATCACAGTAATAATTTTAAACTTTTCTGATATAAAGAATCAATTATCCTATATGTGTGTATTCAAAAGACACTATACACTAAAAAAATAAATTGATTCTATATTAAATATATGCTCCAGATTATCACTAATAACAAAAACATTAACTTATTATTTATGCTTTGCTTGGTACATGTCAATGAACACTGCTCACAATAATCTGAGGCCATTCCCTGGACACCTCCACTGCTTTCTGGGCACAAAGACAATATATAATTCTAGGTAAACTTGTACTATTTCATCCTCATTAACTAGTAGGTTTGGTTCAAAGCAAAACTATGTACTTAATTTTGTTGTTTTCTTTGCTCACGTGTACAGCACTGGGTATTCATGACAACCATATGATTTGCTATGTGAAAAGACATTTTCTACTTATAGTGGAAGACCAGAAATTTACCATTTTCTAACCTTCCATAGATCCTAATACATCTGATCTGAATAAAAAATTTTAAATATAACTGTGGCTCTACCGTTCCAACCCTTCATTTATGGATCGCTAATATCCTGAATGATCACGCAGCAGGGAAATCCCTTAATACTAATCCTTTGGAGAACAATTCTATAATTGACTAACCTCTTTGCGGCCTTTCACGGTTTTCACAGATTTCATGCTTTGCGATCTTCGAAGGCCTTTGTGTGTTAACATCTCATCATCTGAATATGGCCCTTCTGGTTCTTCATCTGTTTTCTCATCACCGTCTTTCAGTGAAATTCCATAACCTACATGAGTTGTCAAAACCGGCATGTTTTGGTAAAAGGATAACAGTCAGTACCGCCTCTTAACTCTGTTTGCAGTTCTCTGCATGGTCTGCACTTGCCAGGTTACTCCTCCCCCTTTCTTGTCTGGAATGAGCTCCCCACCCGTCATCATTCATCTTTGCCCGTTGGAAGTATTCTAGATAAAGCTCGTGACCAATTGCTTCCAGGAAGTTTTCCCTGACCATTCCTATTTTTACTATGCATTTCTCAAAATAATTTATTTTGAGTAGGTAACGCATTTATCTTGTTCAAAAATCAAAGACTATATATATATAGTGAAAAGTCTCTTCCTGCCCTTTCTCCTTTTCATGAATTCTAAATAACCTAAGCAAGTGTGTGTTTCAGTCTGTCATTTGTACCTTTGATTTGAATTAGGAATTAAGGGTTTCCCCAACCCATGTGTCAAACCTCTTGTCAAGATTGGGAATATTAGGGTGAAACTAAGGAGTCATATAAGACCCAAAGGGGCTAGAATTTTGGACAAGTTCACTGGGGGCAGGTGAGAGAGATGTTAAACCAACACTGTTGCAGCTGCTGAGATAAAACACAGCCAGACAGGCTACAGTAATTAGAAACATCACACAGGCTATGATGACAGATATCAGTCAAAGAAAATAGCCAGCATCAGGAAAGGCAGTAGGAGGAGATTGCGGGGGTGTGCTAACAAGCTGCCATGCGTAGCTACAAAGACTTAACATTGGCCAAATAAGCAAACAACCAGGCGGTCAGGCTGGTTATTGTCAGGAAGTCTGAGAGCATCCTGACACTGGGAATTCAGGGACAAGAATGCTCTTATTCCTGAAGCAGAGGTTCTCAAACTTTAGCAACTATTAGTTACCTGGAAAACGTGTTAGTTAATGTTGCTGGGCCTGGGGTGAATTGAGAATTTACATTTCTAACAAGTTCCCAGGTAATGCTTCTGCTACTGGTCCAGGGCCCACACTTTGAAAATCACTGCCTGGATGGAGCAAGAGAGAGGCCCAAGTCTAAGGCAACCATCGTATGAGGGAGGTTATAAAGACAGGAACTTACAAGGCCCCATTACGTTTCAGGTTCTCCTTTAATAAAGATAAGGAACATAAATACTTAAATCTTAAGGTGAGAAAAAAGGAGCAGGTGTTCCAGGCTAAGAAGGGGGCAAGGGATGAACTTCTTACAGTGTGAAGAAAAATATACTAAAGGTTTATTAATCTGTTCTCCCAGGACATGAATAACTTGAGACTCACTAAGTAAGCCATGAAGAGCTGTTAATAAGCTTCTTAGTCTCATAATAAGATAAACAGCTTTGTACAATAAGCAAGTACATAATACGATAAACATCTTTGTATATTAAGCTGTGGCTTTTCTTATATTAATTTTATGTTGCCAGACTTCTAGGTTAGAAACTAGGAAGCATTTGGGAGTAGAATCAGTCATTATTCAGGCCAAGGTCCTTTGTTTTCCTGCAGCAGTTCAAGGAAATGTGTTCTCGGAAGAAGGGATAGCCCGTGTGAAGACCCTGGGGCAGAGGGGAGCGTAACTGACTGGAAGAACTGCCAGGAGGCGGTGTAGCCAGGGGAGGGGATGAGGTTAGTGGTCACGGGGAAACGCTCCTGATGCAGTGTGAAGTGGGGAAAATAATGTACGTATAGAAACAAAGGAAAAACATGAAAAATGAAACCATTGCATGTCTTGGAAGTAGGCTTTTTGGTGATTTTATAATTCATTTTTCCTTTTTCTTTAATTTGCCAAATTTTTATTTTAGAAGTTGTATTTACTTCTATAATTGGGGAAAATAAACCAGAAAGAATGTTTTTAGGTTGTCATTTCTAGACTGTTCTCTATTGCTGTTACTTATATGATATTCCTGAGCCTGATATAATAAAACTAAGGTAAAAAAGAGAATGAGGAATCAAGAAGAGAGTCAAAAAAGAAGCAACTGTGACCAGAAAGTTCTCTAAGGCTACAGATGAAGCCTAAGATACAGTGCAACAAACATGGCTCTTGCTATTTTAAATGCATCTCATTTTATATGATGAGGAATTGGAATTTCATTCAAAAGATGATTATATAGTATAAATCTTATTCTGTTCCCTAATTTCAGTTAAAAAATTCTCATTAGCTTTCTAATTATGGTTTCAGGAAAAGTGATGGCTCGATTCATTAATCCACAAGTATTTTTAAAATTCTACTATGTGTGAGGCAGTATGCTAAATTATGGGGATTCAATAATGAAAAAGAGACAACTATCATTTTCACCCTAAGAAACTTACAGTCTAATAGGGCAAATAGACTCTACTGCACATGACAATCCTATAATAGATGCTATAACTAGAAGATAAAGACAAGGTGCTATGGGAGCAAATAGTAAGATAATTAACTCAGCCTGGGGGTGGGCAGAAGTGGGTTGTGAGAGGAGACTCTGTAACAGGCCGTGACTAAGGCAAATCCTGAAAGGCTCATGATTCTATAAGCTAGCCCATGATGCAGTGGGAGAACATGGCTGGGGAGCTAATATACTACATGCTATTGAGTTTGGACTTCATCAGAGAGCAATGGGGGGGGGAGGGCACTGAAACATGTTATGCACAAGGTGACATGATTAGATTTGGGTTTTTTAAAGGCTTCTTCTTGCACTTTGGAGAATGAGTCAGAAGTGGATAAGACTGGAAGCAGAGGGTTACTGCAGTGTGGCAGGTCAGAAATGCCAAAGTCCAAGGAGTGAGGGCCGAGAAAGCAACCAAATCTGGGATCTATTTGGAGGTGAAATCAATAAATTTAACTTAGCAACTTAGTAAACCAACCCCTGCATGAAAAACAGAGGAGTCAAGTCAAATATCTTCACTAAAATATGCATGTTATTCCACTTAATATCTGGAAATGAGTTTGTATGAAAATTCTGCTGTGATGGTGGAAATAGTGTTAATCAAAGTTATCCAAGTTATGAGCACATGTTTTCCTATCTGATTAGGTGGTGAGATAGATAAGAGATGGTGAATAGGTTTCTAAGCCAATGATGGCTGTGAGCCAGTTGGGGCACTACGTGGAGTGGGGTTCTGAGCCAGTGTGGTAAAGTGCCACAATCCCTGAGCAATGTCTGCCACCAAGGGCATAGGACCAGGGAGTAGGCCAGTCACCTATTTGCCATCTTTGACTAAAGCATCTCTAAGGTCCCTTCCTGCTCAAATTATTTGAATTCATGTTTCCAGCTCAACTGTCTCCCTAAGTGTAGCCTCTTTATAATTTAAAACTGAAGTTGGCTGAGTGGCGTGTTGGTTAAGAGTTGGCTTGGGATGCCAGCTCTGAGCAGCAGGGCCCCGGTTCAGATCCCACATGAGGGCCAGTGACGCTGCACCCTCTACAGCTAAGATGGTGAACAACAGCTCAACCTGGAGCTGGGCTGCTGAGAGTCGCTGGCGATGGCGTAGGCTGCAGCCCCTGCTACAGTGGGCTGCTGTGAGCTACTTTGAATGGCTGGCAGCCAGCATGAGTGGCCGGCAGCTGGCATGAGCTGCCGTGAGCCCCATGAGTGGCAATCCAGTGGCCGGCGACTGACCTGCCTCACCTGGGAAGAACGCAATGATAAGGTCAACATGGGCCAGTGAAGCAATGTCCTCCACTACACTGAAGAACAAAAGGACAGCAACTTGTCTGTTCTCCTTCCCTGATTTCGCAACGCTGTTCCCATTCCCCAATTCCCCAATAAAATCTTTAAAAAATATTAAAATTAGGACAGCCGAGTGGCTCAGTTGGTTAAGAGCTCGCTCAAAAGTGCGAGCTCTGAGCAACAGCGGTTCGAGTTCTGGCCCAAGCTGAGCTGCCAACAGGTGGCAGGATGGCTCAGCTAAAAAAAAAAAAAAAAAAATAGTAAGAATTAGCTTAGGAACTTTGGATGCCTCATTTCTGCTATTGAGTGTGTAGCTTTTAAGATGTAATTTAATCTCCTTAAGTCTCTGTTTATTCATCTACAAAATAAGGATATAATACTTAACCTGCATACTCATCACAAGGATTAAATAAAATTGTAAAACAAAAAAATAAATAAAATCTCTTTATGCACTGGTATTGAAACTGAATACTGAATCACTTTTAACTAATATGGGAGCAGCAGGTTCTTCACAGAAAAAATATTTCCCTGATTAAAATGTAATGTTCTTTCAAGGGACGTGAACATTGTGTTCAAGGGATCCATTTTCATAAGAAAAAGCATATGGAGGGCGCTCTTCTTTCTGATAGTGACAACATGCAGATTAGAATAATTTCAACAAAGCAGGACTTCTCTTAATCAGCTAACCGCAAGCTGCTCAGAGCAGGCCATGATGAGTTTTCAAAAGGGACCCACTTAACCACATATTTGTTTGCTTGTGAGAACAATCAGAGCTTCTAAGGTAACTGTATTGATCATATGAACCAGAAAATGAACTTTGCAATGTGAATATAATTTCCACACTTAAAAACTTATTAATCTTAAATGAAAAAGAAAAGTATTAGAGATTTAAAAAATGAGTACCTTAATTATTTTTCAAAAGGAAGAGCACTGTTGCTTTATTTCTAACTGGGTAATAGGTTGATTTAAAAACAAAAAAACACCAAAATCCTACTACTCAGAGCTAAACACTTTTATCATTTTAGTAATATCCTTCCAGACTCTCCATATATATATATATATATACACATATATATACATTTGAAAAATAACTTTACATATATTAATCATTTCATCTATCTATTGAGCCTCTACTGTATAGGATGATAACACACATACTGTTTTGTTATTACTGTTCATTCCCACACAATCTGGTTATGTCAGTAAGTATAGACTAACATTATTATTCAGGGCTAATAAGCCACTTTTTGCTTTACTATTTTTCTTAGGCATTTGGTTTGTTCAATATTTTGTTCCTATCAACAACTAGATCAGCGGTTCTCAACCTTTCACAGGGGTCGCCTAAGACCATTGGAAAACACATATTTTTGATGGTCTTAGGAACCGAGACACCACTCCTCTATCCGTTTCCAGGCCCACATGCAGATACGCCCACATACGAGTACCCGGTGACCCCTGTGAAAGGATCGTTCGACCCCCAAAGGGGTCGCGACCCACAGGTTGAGAACCGCTGAACTAGATGAACTTCATTCCTGTACATATATATTTGAACACTTGTCTGATTATTTCCTTATGACATATTCCTAGAAGTTTGTTGCTGAGTTAAAGAGAATACATTTTGATAATTGTTGCTCGATTTTCACCTAGAAGGATTATTCCACTTTAAACTCTCATAGAAAGCATGAGACTGTTTGTTCCCGAACATGCTTGCTGTGATGGTTTTAAACCATGTCCACAAATTCTGACACTTTTCTCCTTCCCTTAAATCTTGATGGCCTTTGTAGGTACCTGCCTTAAATTGCCATAGGGTGGAAATGATGATGCATAACTCCTGCCTCTTTCTCTTGAGACACTGGCTCTGGGAGTCTTCAGCTGCCAGCTAAAAAGTCCAGTGACCCTCAGAGACCACGTGGAGGGACAGAGAAAGAGATGCCAAGGAAGTCCCAACTGTTTTAGCCACTAGTTGTTTTACTTTTCCAGCTCAAACACCAGACATATGAAGGAAGAAGGATTTGAGATTGACTCCAGACCCAGCTGCTGTCTGACTGTAGCTGCATAAGTCCCTGAGCAAGAACTGCCTCACTGAGCCAGGTCATCCCCAGATTCATGAGCAAAATACATAAATGACCGTGATTTTTTTAAACCACTGTTTGGAAGTGGTTTGTTACGCAGCAATAGACAACTGGAATAGTTACAAAATAGAGCACTATTAAAAAATTTTTTTTGACAACCTAGTGAGCAAAAATTATTATTATTACTATTTTAATTTATTACTTCTTTGACTATCTGTGAGGCTAAATTTGTTTTTCATGCATTAATTGGTGAGCTCTATTCTTTGGTAGAATTGACAATAATTGGCTTTGTAGATTGTTAAAATCTGAACCCTTTGTCTGTAACATCTAGTGAGACTATTTCTTGTAGTTTGCCCTTTTTATCTGTGGAGTTTTCTCTTTCCTTTATATGGTAGTTTTATTTTTATTTTTTTTTAATATAGAAAAATCTCTCAAACTTTTCCCTTTGTTTTCTGGTTTTGATGTGATGCTTAAAAAGTTTGATCTATCCCAGGAGTATAAAAATATACACAGGAATTTACTACTATATTGTTTAATTTCTTACATTTCTGTCTTAAATCTTTTAAGAATTATTTTGATCAAAGGTTTGAGGTAGAGGTATAACCTAATCCCCTATCCTACCTTCTAAGTCTAGCAGTTATCCTAACAACCGTTTATTAATTTGCCTTTCCCTTACTAATCTGAAAGGCCCCAGTTCTCATTTTATCAATTTCCATGTATATCTGGACTTGTGTCTATCTACCCTATTATTAACTTCTCTTCACCTATTCCTCTCCTGGAAACATACTACGTAATTAAAAATATTGTCAAGAGAGAAAGTTTTGTTTAAATTTTTTCCTTAAGGAAGAAAAGCTCAGACTATATACTATTCTGTAGGAAAGCTTGGCAGAGTAATGCTTATTATGATTCTAATTTCATAACTGAACAAGTACCTTTCTTGTACTGCTCCCACTTCATATTTTTATAAATCTTTAGTTATTTTAATTCTGTGGATTGAACTCTAACGAAAGAACTAAATAGCACCTCCTATCTTAAAATATTTTAGTCACACCATTTCAAATAGATGAGTACCATAAAAATAGTGTTAAGGACTTCCCTATTTATAATCGTTTTCATCTCATAATTGGAATATAATTGTTAAACAATTGTAGGATATAATTATGAATAAACTGTTGATAAAGGACTCAGATATCTGGTCAAAAATCAATAAAATACATACAGCCGACCCCATAATCAAAATTAGTGTACCTAAGTTTTAAATGCACATTAAAAAAACGCCTATATTAGGAACTACTTTTATATTATTTATGTATTAAGAATGATGATTCAAAGTTCAATGGTTCCTCATTCTTAAAGATCTTACTACCTTAATCCATGACCAATGCTTAATTAGTATCTCTTAGATAATAGCTACCAATTTTTGTAAAGTTATTTATTCTAGAGAGAACTTAAAAGAAAGTTCACTATTTTTCCCTCTGTAAGAAGGGTCTGCTATTTTATTTTTCAAATTGGTTTTAATTATAAAGGATTCTTTTCAATTTCCCTCAAAAGAAAACTTTTAGCTAAAAAGAAAAAAATTAAAATAAAAAAAAATAGCCCTGTACCTTATGGACTTAATAATACATTAATAAGACATTTCCTGAAGATCTTAGTTCTCAGCGGAGCCTTGAACTAAATTTTGTTGTATGTGATAAAATGACTAAGGAACTATGTCTTTTTACTTCTGTGTATGTTTCTAAGATAATTATTTATTAAAGTTTAGAACACATCAACTATGGCATGCTCATGATTTATGTCACAATATACCTACAAGTTAGTTCTTGAACTAGAATACATGTAATTTCAACACATTTTCCATTGGAGTTATCCTGTTTTCAAAATGAGTCACCTTTTGTCACCCACTTAAAACTTTTTATCTTGTGAGTCAATATCCTTATTTGTTCACAGCACTTATACTAAAGAATGTCTAACTATAAAAGTATTTAGATGTCACTAAGTAGTTTAAGTAGAAAGAGTGTTGACCACAGGTCAGAACTAGTACTGGTGGTGGGGAGGTGGCGGTAACTACACCCACTAAACATTCACGGCAGCACAAAAAGCTTTCGCTACCTTCTTAGTTGGATTATTCTCCAAAGTCAACAAAAGGCAAGCACTAACTTGATCTAGGGATCATTTAGAGAAAAAGAACTACAGTTAAGTGTGAAACTAAAAAATATAAGCTTAAAAGTAAATTTTGTCTACCAAATCAGTTATCAGGTATTATTTTTGTACCCATCTTGTCTCAAAAATCTCACTTGTGATTAATGATATATTAAAACCAACAAGCACACCTGATTCACTGGAGGCTGGCTTACTTTTCCTTTTTGTGTCCGGTAGAGGTTGGTACGGTCTTTGTCCCACATGCTCATCCCCTTGGATAGCTGTTAGGTCGTGCATACTGAAGCTCCGTAACCGCTCAGTTATTGCCCCTTGGCTCTATTTAACAGAGAAGTGATAGATCCAAAACAAGAAATACACTTTAAAATATTTAATACGCTTCTATTGAACTTTCCCCCGACATTCGATCATGAAGCTTATTCTCTGTATTATGAAACTTTCAGAAAAGTTGAAAAAAGTATAGATACCCATAATCACTTACATTTTGTTATATTTTCTTTATCACATATATAGCATTTATCCATCCATCAAACCATTTTTAATGCATTTCAAAGTGCGTCGTAGACATCAGTACATTCTATCCTCAAACATTTCAAGTTTATATTTATCAATAATATTCAAGTGTAAAAAGTGTATCATGAACTTACCCTCAGAGTAAACAGCATCCATAATTTTGCTCTTTTCCTAAAACTGGCACTTGGAGCTTAAGTTTATGAGTTAAGAAGAGCTTTTTAAAGTAAAAGAGAGACTGTTTTAAGCCAAACTAAGTCAGGAGTGGTAACGACTCTACCTAGAACAGCGTAAATACATTGGAGAGCCAAAGAACCTTGGATGCAAAGCAATATTCAGTTACTGAATTCACTATCTGGCTAGGCATATCTACTTCTACTACGAAGTCATTTTAAAGCTTTAACAATATGGTAGGCTGAGCACATGTGGGTATTTAAATTTAAATTAACTAAAATTAAATAAACCAGGAATTCAGTTCTTTAATGGCAATAGCCACATTTCACATGCTCAACAGCCACATGTGGCCAGTGGCTACTGTAATGGACAACGCAGACAAAGAATACTGCTATTACCACAGAAAGCTCAATGATTTTCATCACTGCACAGCTTTTAAAGTAACATTTCTGAACTTTTCAGACATAATTAGATTTTCTCTCAAGGTATAAAGCGTTGTAAAGAGAAAAAAATAATTTCTAAATTTACTCAAAAATTTGCGTAGCATACAGATGACTCACTTCTTATTTATAGCTGTATTAGAAGCGATTCTTCTAATGGTTTTTTTACACTTATTTCTTCTTCTCACACATGCCAATTTATGATTGCCTCTAGTTATAAAGTTAGCATAGAAACTCATCCATAATGGTTTATCTCTAAATTTTAAAGCCTTCAGCATTACAAACATTCAAACACTACTGCTAACATGTATTCTACCCTGAAGAAATAGGTCTTGATTCAGCTACTCTGAGGTAGTGATATATTATGTCGAAACCAAACGCCATCACCCCGTGTGAGCTTTGTACTCCTATCACATTTTTTTTCAACTTTGGAAAGGAATTATTTAATTAAAGGGTCTATACTCTCAATAAAAATAACTGGGTTTCACACATCGGTAAACATTCTTGGAAAGGTTTAATTCATTATACTTTCTTCCTGTTTATCAGGTTTCATTCACTTATTAAACAAATGGGTGACAAAAGATTTCAGATACACACTAAAAGGAAGTGACCAGTGCTCATCTGAAAAAACAGATGCCTTGTTTTCTCAGAATTGTCATTTTCTTTATCTCACCTTTGTATTTCTGTGCCCCCTCTCGGAAATTCTTTTCACCTCCAGATAAATAAACGATAAATAGCATACACATCCATGATGCCCTTTACTAGACTAGGGTACAATTTCCAAGGCTGGCTGTTAACTCCCAAACCCTCCCACTCAAAGTTCATCTCACAATGCAAATGAGTCCAAGTGCCATTAAATCAGTCCAGACTTTGGTATCTTTAAAAAGTATAATCAGCTAATTTCTTAGGACATACCTCACAAATGAACTCACACATTACTGTTAGTTCTACTGTTGTGCTGTGTATATTTTGTCTCCAGAGCAAGATTTTAAGAAACTAGATGTGATAGACAAATCTTAGGTTTCTTCTATTCTCCTCATGTACTTGTAGTACTGATATAAGCATGTCAAATTAAACCAAATACTCTTTTTATGCCTCTTCTTTTTCATTATTCTTGACTGGTAGAGAGCTCTCCATAGACAGCAACTTGTTTTAATGCAAACACTGGCATTTACATAGCAAGGTTAAATAGCAAACTACCCATATAGTCATGGGTATTCACATGGGTAGATTACATCATCCATCAGAGGTCTGTGTCAGGTTCAAATTAAAGGTGAGCAAGGACCAACCCTGAGGTATCTGGGTGATCTATTTACACAGATCTTAATGTAGTTCTTGAGTAACCAACCCTATAGCCTTAAGTATTGTTAATCCCCTCAAGGTTTCAAGAAAGGCCAGGAAAAGCAAAAAGGGGCTGTATACCCTCTTTGAGGAACCCCAGCACTTCAATAGCAATTATCACCTCGAAACATCAGATTTTCCACTGTATATTTTCTTATGGGCCCAGAATAGAGCTAATATAGGAAGAGAGAATTAATGTACAAATTTTAAGTATCCAATGTGACCACTTTAAAGGAGAGGTGTAATTATAAAATAATCACATCTAAATGCAGACCTATTCTAATTTTTCTATCTTCAGCATAAAAAGTCCATTAATAAAGGAATTATGTTGGTAATAAAATGTTAAGTGGCAATAACCACCTATCTTCCTCAGAATTCTAAATCATATGCATGATAGGACTACAAGTATGCAGTATGATTATAAATAGACAAGGGAAAATATGCAAAAATGAAAACGGTATAATGTTTAGGCAGATGGGATGGGTGATTTTTTTCCAACAATTTCTTTAATATTAAAAAATTAGTCCTAGGTGGCATAGTGAAGTTTTAATTGTATCGTGATGCATAATAAACATTTCTAATCCATTTCCAACTCACTTCCTATATATAATCCCTTACTTGGATTAAAAGAAAAACTATTTCTCTATTTTGAGGGCACAAGTAGGGCATTATAGTTTGTCGAGACCTGCTCGTCAACCGAAGCTACCCGAGTGGACTGGGTGGGAGATTAGAAAAGATAAACACAGAGAAAAAAGGCGGTCCACTGACGCTGATGGCAGAGCAATGGCCTCGTTTATTTTTTTGCAGAAAGCTTATATAGAGCAAGCAGCTGCAGAGAGCAGTAAGCAGCTTCAGGGGGTCTGTTTATCGGGTTAGACATTAGTTAAGTTACATCCTGTTATGCATTTCTCTAAGTGCACAAGCAGGTTACATTTTGTTACGCACTTTGCAGAAGCTCCTGTGGCTTCAGCTATTCTTTTCTCTTCTTGGATCAGTGGGGGTGGAACGTTCCCTGAACTGTTCCACAGGCTGTGAAGACCCTGTCAGCTCACAGCCTGCTCCCCACAATAGTTACTTGTCAACAAAGTTAAAAGGTATTGAGGTTTTGTTTAAACAGTAATGCTTTATTTATTTTCTTCTATTTGGTTTATATAATATTAAACCAAAAGTGAAAGAAAAATTAAGAAAGGTTCTAGTCGAGGAAGAAAGTATGTGTGGAAACAGCAGCCTTACTTGATAAGGAGGAAGAGAGTTACCATCCATAAGGATATGCTATATCCCACAATTTTACATCCTATTCTCTGCATAATTATATGTACACTGTGTATGTTAAATTAATCCTAAAAATCAAAGAGGAAGTAACAGAAATATTATAAGAATGTAAAAGTCAAAGTAATTAAGAAGTATTCATTATTCTTAATAACGTAGAATATTTTACATTAAAATTGATCATCTTTAGCAGAAGTGTTCCTAAACCCTTCAGTGGCTCAAAGTTCTCAGGGTTTGAATTTGGATGGGCCCAGGACATCCATTTAAGGAACTGAGAGGGCCGGCTGAGTGGCGTGTTGGTTAAGAGCTGGCTTAGAATACTAGCTCTGAGCAGCAGGGCCGGGGTTCGGATCCCACATGAGGGCCAGTGACACTGCCCTCTACAGCTAAGATGGTGAACAACAGCTCAACCTAGAGTTGGGCTGCCGTGAGTTGCCAGTGACGGTGTAGGCTTCAGCCCGTGCTGCAGTGGGTTGCCATAAGCTACCGTGTATGGACGGCTGCCAGCATGAGTGGCCGGCAGCTGGTATGAGCTGCCAAGAGCCGCCGTGAGCAGCCATCCAGAGGCCGGCGACCCATCTGCCTCATTCAGGAAGAGCGCAATGATGATACCAACATGGGCCAGTGAAGCGATGTCCTCCACAACTAGACTGAAGAACAAAAGGACAGCAACTTGTCTATTCCCCTCCCCCAATTTCCCAATAAAATCTTTTAAAAAAAAAGAAACTGAGAACACTACAGGGGCTGACTGGGTGGCAGGGCTGGGCCCAGATCTAGCCCAGTGAAGCTCTGGGAAGGATTCTTCAGCTGAGTTGTCCCCACACATTGCCCATTTACGTCCAAGGGCACTAGGACATCTTGAATGTCTACTCAAGTATCCAGGTCCATGGTTGGCATTTGTAAAAAAGGGACCCTGTATGCAAGACTAATTCAAACTGTTTTACATCCAAACAATTCTGCCTTTGTTGAAATAACTTCATTTCCTGGTTAAATAGTACATTAAGATTACTATATTTTGTGTTAAGGGGAATTTACTGTGCTTATCAGTATCTTTGTTTAAAATCTTCAGTCTATTCTCTTCACATTTTTTACTGAGAATTTAGAAACATAATCAGTAATGCTTTATAATCTTACAAGCATATAAACAATCTCTTCCAGAATAAGTCTTACTATATTGTTCAATAAAAAGAACGATTAAGCTCTATTTCTGTTGATCCTTGACATATTACATTGTCATTGCAGATAAGGCTAGTTCCAGTTTTTAGGGAAATCTCTTTTCTCTGTGGACATTCAACAACTAATCTGATCAAGCTCAGAATAGAATTGACGGCATTTACATTACGTGAATAATATATTTTAGTGTTTTGAAGATGAAAGCAATATGTATTTATCAAAGAACATTTGTAACAGAAAAATATACAAAAGAAAGATTATTCATTATCTACCACCAAAACTACCTGTACATAATTATACACTCTTTGAGGTTTTTCTGACTCATTACACTTTTAGAGCAGGGTTTCTCAACTCAGCACTACTGCTATTTTGGGCTGGATAATTTTTTGTTGTGGGGGAAGCCGTCCCGTG